ATTATTTATATATTATTATGGATTTGGTTATGAATTATATTACAATTCTTTTTCCAATATCGCACGTCAGCAGTAAGACGTATTCTCTTTCTCTTCTCTATATGTACGAATACTGTTTGTATAGTACATAACGTGTTTTATTAAATATTTTACATAAATAATATTAAAATACAAATGTCATATTATAATTATAACAATTATGAAAGAACGACAACTGAAGAAAAAGATCGTATTTGTGATTCCAATGATGAAATAATAACTGAAAAAATTCGTCAACGTAAAATAATAGACAGGTGCAATAACAACGACCTACAATAAAATGATTTAATGATGAATAACAATGGCAAACAACCCTTCAAAAGACAACTTACATCTTCAAGCTACTATGGTGAAAATGTTTCAAATGAAGAGGATAATAATCAATTTATTTTTGTTGGTAAATATAACAAACGTAAACAAAGACGTACTGGTGAAATCAACGAAGATGAAAACAATGAAGAAGATTTATTGATTATAGACCAAAATTCTGCTACAACATTAAATGTTAATGTAAATAACGGACGTACGTTTCTAAACAGCAATAACAAAACAAGCAACAATATAAACAGAAACGAAAATACATACACTCGTCAAATGAACCATACATGTAATCGTAATGCACAGGAAGATCAAAATAAAAATAAAAACAAATATGATGACACGTCAAGTGATGCAAACAAAAATAAAAATAATGGAAAAATGACAGAGATGCAGCATATTAATTTATCTGAAAAATTAAACAAAAATGCTAAAAATAAAACAGTAGAAAATTATAATTCGGACATATCAATTTCACAACATGCACTTGCTTATGCTATTGAAAATCATCTTCCACCAATAAAAATCAGTTGTCAACCGAAAATAACTCAAAACCAAAAAGGAAATGAAATAATAAAAGGACTTATTGCCTTCATTGAAAAAAATTTTCGTCAACTAAATAAAAACTTTCATCATCCAGTAGGTTTTGAATATTGGTATGTTAATAAAAATGGTGATCTAGTCTGTTACACAAAACATAACGAACTATTTGTTTATTTATGTGAACCTCAAAATTATCCAACTCTACTTAGTAATACAAATATAACACCTTCAAGACCACGACATTTACCATCTCAACATTCAATCGTACTTAAATTTGTTCCAAACTATATTACAAAAGATGAAATTGAGATCGAAATAAAAACATCCATCAAAACAGTTTACAATATTGAGGAAATGAAAGGATCCATGACCGAGAAATCTCGGCATGTGAGAATTGAGCTTACCTCTCTTGATGAATACAACTCAATTCTTAATAATGGAGGAATTACATTAAATGAACATTTAATTGAAGCATATGAATTTCTTTCTCCACCACGGCTGTTAATCTGCTCAAAATGCAATGATCCTGGACATATTCGACGCAATCGTAATTTTCAATATGATGCATGTCGTCAATGTGGTAAAGATCGTGCAATAGGTGAACACAGAGAATGTATTATTTGTTGTCATCGTTGCAATCAAAATCATTTATCTACAGATTATAAATGTCCCTTTCTTGTTGAATATCGTCGATCACTATTATACAAGCTTAAAGATCAGCCTAATTTATTACCACCAAACATGCATATTTTCATTCCTAGTGAATGCAGAGAACGTGGTATTAAAAACAATCAAATTTTAAGTAATCCCTCTATCAACTTAAATAATTCCACAATCAATAAAAATGCATCACAATTTAACTTATCTTCTCATGCCTGGCCAACATTAGGTAGAGTAACAGATGGAAGTATTAATCCACATTTAAATGATCACACCGTATGGAACGAACTAAAATTGAAACAAAATGAAATTAATAGGTTAAATGAAGAATTTAACATAAAAATGCAACATTTACAAGCTAAAAATGATGATCACATGAAGAAGATGAGCACAATTTTACTGATTATATCACAACAAGTCAAAGTACAAAATGAAGGTATTGAAAGATGTTACACTACAATCAATGAAGTATTACCAATATTATCATCAATCCTTGAAGTAGTTCAATGGTTAATTACAAAACCTGGTATGTTAAATATGAATGAAAATAACAATGCTGAAAATCAAAGTATTCTGAATCACATCTCTCAATCACTTGAATTCATCAAAGACAGGAATGATTTTCTCACCACAAATCAACGTCTACTGAACTCTCTTGTTGAACAACAGAATGGTTTGATGATTCAAGGAATCAATAGCTTAATTGAAAATAATGAACATTAAAACTTTCCACTACTCGTCGCCTATAATAACCCCCCCCCCCCCCTATAATAGACTCTTTCTCTGGAACGTTGAAAGAAAAAAATGTCTTAACTGAAATGATAAATGAATGGAACTCTCGTGTTTCTGTTTCGCAATTGTGTAACTATTGGAAGAAAGTCCCCCCTAAGTCCATAAATCAAAACTTGTTATTCTTGTTATATAACGTCGAAGGATTAAATACTCACGTTGCTGATGTTGATATTTTACTATCTACCTATAACCCCCATATTTGCATACTCACTGGGGTAGGAGCAGCCATAAAGAAGAAAAACCATACTTTTCCGAATTATCTTTCATTCTCACAAGCCGGTACTAATTCTTATGGAGGTGTAATTATTCTGTACCACCAATCTATTAAATGCAAAATGTCCGATACTGAACCTAATTTTATCTTAATAGAAATATTGTTATCAAATAAACCTTTTTATGTAGGTGGATTATATGTTCCTCCCAGATCTTTGCCTCCTTTTCAATTACTATCCAAACATCAAAATAAAACATTTTATATATTTGGAGACTTTAATGCCAAACACACGGAATGGGGATGTAAAAAGAATAATTCAAGTGGAGTACATCTTCAAAACTGGTTAGAACAAACAGGCAACGAATTGATTGCACCTCAAAAAGCAACATCGAAAAGATCTGATTCAATAATAGATTTTGGTATCACAAAGGACGCGTCTGGGTGGACATCTGAAGTACTGAGTGAAGGTACTTCTGATCATTATCCTACTCTTTTTCAATCCTCGATTACTTTCGAAGAAAATGCATGTTTTAGACTAACTAATTGGAAACTATTTACATTCTTTTTAACGGCTACCTACGAATATTGGCTCTCAACAGTGTACAACCTAGATGAACAAACATTCTTTAATTTATTTTTATTATTTCTTTCATCACTATGGGATAGATGCAGCACCTATGAAAAAATAACTAAATACCGACCTCCTTGGCCTTCTCATCTTGTTCTTTTGGCAAAATCCGTCAATAGAGCCCGTCGTAGATATAGAAGAAATTGTACCATTTCAAATTTACAGTATTTTCTATCTTTAAAAGAATTGTTTGTTACTGAACGCAATCATATTCTTCAAACAAAAGCAGAAAAAAAATTATCTTGGATGTCAAAAGGACAAAACATATGGAAATTGGTGAAGCCGTCTTTTCGTTCTTTTACTCCATCTTTTCGCGGACTCTCAGTAGGGTTTCACAAAATAACAAACTCACAGGAAATTGTTGATACAGTTGCAAACTATTTTGAGAAACATTTCCAGGAACCAAAATATGATATAAACAATCCTATGCATGTTGAAGCAATTGAACATTATAAACAGATTGAATATACTCCAGCTATTCCATTAGAACAAGTTACAATAAATGAAGTAATAAATGAATGGAAAAAATTTAAAGGCAAAAAATCTACCGACAGCGCTGGAACTTCTGCCTACATGTTAAAACAACTCCCTCAAGCATACATCGCAATATTAACCATTCTATTCAATAAATGCGCATTAAAAGAAAATTTTTTTGAAGCTAGTAAACACGCCAAGGTTATTTGCCTATCAAAAGATGGTCTTTTTCCAGCAGAAAACAAACTTAGACCTATCTCGTTACTACCTAATATAGGTAAATGGTACGAACGTATTATTCACAATAGAATAATAAAATGGTGTGAACAAAAAAATATATACGCTGATGAACAATCAGGATTTACTTCACAAAGGAGACTACAGACAAGAATAATCTCACTAATTGAGGATATCAGACTAACAGTAGCAGCTTGTAACAGACCCGCACTTGTTGTTTTTGTTGACTTTTTATCGGCATTTGATAGAATGTGGTACCCCGCTCTAATATCATCTTTAAAAAAACTTGAAATGCCACTACCTTTAGTAAAATGGATTGCGTCTTGGCTTAAGGACAGAACACTGTCTATTCATCACGGCAATGCATTCTCTCGCAACATAAAAATGTTTGTTGGCGCGCCTCAAGGGTCAATTCTTGCTGCTACCCTATTCAGACTACATATACATTTTCTACCCTCACTATTTATGCAGATCACAACTCACCTTTTTGCAGACGATTTGGCACTACTATTTTTAGGATCACTGGAAAAGAAATTCTCACAAAATATAATCGATCTAGAAATAAAAGCAAAAAATGTTATGATTATTTTGGAAAAATATGCTGATGATATGTTACTACCTGTTAATGTCCCTAAAACTAAAGCCTTATTAGTACATAACATAGTATCACCGACATTACCATGTATTAAATATAAAAATCAAAAAATTGAATTTGTCTCTTCTTTTAAATATCTAGGAGTCTCAATCACTTGTAAACTAGGTTGAGGAATCTACATAAGTAATGTAATAAAAAATATAAGAAAAATATATAATGCAATGAAAATAATATATTATACTCTTCCAAAAAAATTTATTAAAATTAGACGTAAACTTTTTCTAGCCTATGCTCTTCCCCATTTTATATGGCTGTTTCCTACCTGGTTCTATTTCACTGAAAAACAAAAAGAAAAAATATATTCATTATTTTGTTCAGGAATTAGATTGGTCTATGGACTAAGAGGATGGGATGATATTTCTATTATGGTAATAAGTCAAGAAAAATCCCTATATGATTATATTTTCTCCTATTGGTCTAAGTTCTATCTCCATCTCGAAACTGCAATTGAAGCAACACAATATCAACATACTTGGACAGCATACTTAGCGGCAAAATCACCGGATAAAGTGTGGTACAAAAGTATGGGTTTCAGAAAAAATAGTTTCTTTTTAAACAGACTCTCTAAGAGAGCAGAACACAGTAAAAACGATTGGTTAAAATTTCGAGACAATCATAAGAGGCAACATGAGTACTTTAAAAATTCGACTTTATATCTAAACTTGTTTATATATAAATACTTCTTACTTCCACCTTAATTTCTCAAACCCTATTATCTCTAAATATTGTGATATCCAACGAAGTCAAAATAGATGACGCTAGTGTAAAATTTTCTTATATATCACTGTATTTTTGCACTCTATTCTAAAGTAATATCTTCTAAATGCATGCCGTTCAAATTTATAAGCACCTACATTGTAACTGTTTATTGTATCAACTCTATCCTCTATAGTTACTATAAAATCAAGTTCTACTATCACTATTAAAACTTACTAAAGTTCAATTAAGATAACTTGTAATCGTTTGAATTGTCGTTATGTAAATGCTGCTATGTTTATCATGTCTATTATGTTATTTCTTTCTCTTCCTTCTCTTTCTTGTTCTCTGCTTTACTTTTATTTATGTGAACCTGTATATGGCACAATAAAATAAATGGAAAAAAAAAAAATTATATTACAATTAGATTACTTGATGCTTTGGTTATG